TAAGTCTCAATTTAGCAAGTCTTCTTACAAACAAGAACAGTTCTTTTGTATTAGGATATATTTCTAATTTGGCCTATAAAAGTACCAACACAAACAATATATTGCAGGGAAAGAATACAGCAAAGGTGATTCAAGATACGTAGGCCGAGATGCTGCAGTTCTTAGTGTTGAAGGGGTCACAGCTGTCATAGAGGGGCCAGCATGCCTTCTTGCAGTGTAAGTATCATTCTCAAGCGATATTAACTTGTCATGCACCTTGAGACTGTCAGAATCAATGTGCTTATCCTAAGGGGTTGCTTGTTCACATTCTAGTTATGCATGGACTTATAATGTACCGTATGTTATGCGAGAAATAACAATGAAGGATTGTATTGCAGTGAGCATTAATTATACAAGGAATAACTTAACTAATAATAATATACAGGGAATATAATTTTGATAAAGTAATAATACAAGGAATATAATGTAACAGTTACTTAATTCTCGTGTAATTTAATGTCGGTATTTTTTGATAGCGCCAACCAAACACTACATTAGATTATTGGGGATTATTTGTTCTTATACAACCATCCAAATGCTGCATTTAATTATGCGGATTGTTTTTCTTGGATAACTGTATAGCTATGTACCGGGTAACTCTTTGGAAAGTTGGGAAGAATTTTTTTGCCTCTGGGATTTGATGCTGGGATCATTTTGACTAAATCCTTTCAACCAAACTACTAGTAAAAGTATATGGACGGGGCAGGAAGATGTATTCAAGTTTGACCTCATTGTTCTTTTGGCATTGGCAGGTATGCTATAGCTACTAAGAAGGCATACAGGCACGTACTTCAACTATCCATTTGTTTGGGGCAGCTCTATGGCACGGCTATATACTTCATAACAGCTGTCTTGGAAGGCGACAATTTTTCTACAAGCCCCTTCTATTACTACGCTTACTATGTCTTTGCAAATCATTTCTGGGTTTGGATACCAAGTCTCATAGTGATCCACTGCTGGAAGAAAATATGTGCTGCTGTCAACGTCCACGAGCAGAAGACCAAGACCCGCTGAGATGATTCTAAACATTGATATCCAAAAGCCTCAACTGAATAACATTGTCACGATTCTATTTCTTTGTATGGTTGTTGAGTTTAATTGTCTTCATTAGAAACAATACTGGGATGGAATATTATCTCTGTTCTAGAAATCTGCTCATTCCTTCTGAAATATGTCATTCTATATCTATGTTCTACGTCTATATTTCTTAGTTCAGCCTCTTGTATACCAGGTCGCATGAACCCCTTTTGATGTCCTACGATTCTGCTAGTTTAGAAAGAAAGAAGGAGAAAAGATTGAAAAATACTGGTATGATGCCAAAATAAATTCTGCATTTCTGCAACTTGCAACAACAAATAAAATCTGATGATTACTCCACACTGCACTATGCATTGGTGCCATAAGTTAACAAGAGCTTTTCTCAAAGCTTCCAATGTAAGCTATGCAAAACAATCTAATACTTTAATTTAGATTCTAATCAAGTTATTGTTAAGGGATGACAGTGTTGTGATGAGCTGTCAGCAGTGGACCAGCTTTTTTATTTTAAATTTAAAATTTCCCAGGACTATAAATACTACTATCATCTTGGTTTATAGTGAAGAACAATGTACACTTGAACAAGTTTTATCAAGAGTTTACGTGATCTTTGAGTTTAAAGTTTGCGTGACTGGCTAAACCTCGGGTTTTGAAATCCATGACGACTTGACCTAAACAAAGGATATTTACGAAATAAAACATGTATTATGATTGTATACATTATAAGTTCTTTCATCTTAATTGATTTCTAATGGTTGCAAACATTAAAATCTTTAATTTTACTTATTTGAGTTATAAATTTATAATGTGCAAAACATAGGAAAAGAGCTAGTAACGAAGATTTGAGATATAAAAACTTAGCCTAAGACTAACCAACTTTTGAGTAAATGTCACTGATTTGAGGTAACACTTTTAGATCGAAAGAATAAAAGTGGTATGCATTCAATTTGGTTCAGAAACGATTAAATGTAGTATAAGATTGATAAGCTGATATACTAGCATTACCAGATGGGATTTTCTATTTACCCAACATAATTCATACAATCTTGGTGAATACAATCAATCTTGATTTCTCTTTCTATAAATTATCAGTTTAAATTAACATTGTTGAAAGTTACATGTTATTAATTGATAGTTTGATACTACAAATCGTTCAAATCCCCCCAAACTTTCACTTTTCTTTGGAAATAAGTAGTTAATAGTTAATACTAGTAAATAATTGCATACTACTTAGTTCTCGCCTTATTCCAAATATTAAGTCCATCTACTAAGCTATAGGTATAAATTTAAAACTACTAACAATGAGGGGATCCTAATTGGAAGATTAGAACTCCCCTGGAGAAAGAGAATGTGAAAAATCCCCTGGTGTGCGTTGGAAGATAAAAGGTAAATTTACATTGATGATGCAAAATAATTATTACATTATTAGTGTATAAAATTTAAATACAAAAAAAAAACATAGAATTTCATAAAAATGCAACAATTGAAGGTTTAAGTGTATATATGTTACACGAAAATGAATATCATTTTGCATATTATATGATAAACATATATAATTTTCTTTCTAGAGATTAAGGGCAATTGATAAGACAGCAGCTAGTACAAACCAACCTAAAAAGAAATATCCCACTAGTATTGTTGGTTCCACATCTTCTGGCTCCTGTAATTATGTTTATATACAATTAAAAAACGTAAAGTATTATTGATAACTCAGGTTATAATCATTTTCTGGTCTGGCTGAAGGAATAATTAATTTACAGTATGTTTGGTGAAAATGTTATCTTACTTATTTTCTAATGTTTGATAAGTAATTAAGAAAATATTATTTCAATAGACTTTTTTTAAAAAAAAAAAAATTTAAGTGAGTTTTGATATAATAATTACTCCCTCCGTTTCAAAAAAAAAAATGACTTCCATTCCTTTTTATTTTGTTTCAAAAAGAATGACCTCTTTCTTTTTTTGGTAATATTTTTAATTTCAGTTTTCTACGTGGCATGTTTAAAGCCACAAGATTAAAGGGTAATTTTATACATTTGACATAACTTTAATTTAGGACCACAAGATTCAAAAGTCTTTTTTATTTTTTTAAACTTCGTGTCAAGTTAAATTAAACCATTCTTTATGAGACGGAGGGAGTATTAATTAAGTGATGGAGAAAAGAGTAGTACCTGAGGAGGAGGAGTCCCCGTAGAGGGCGGAGTTGGATCAACCTCAAATGGCCATTTGTAATCATCCGGTGCTTCGCTCCTTACCAAACTCCAATCATACAGCCTTCTCTCCTCTGGTGTTGACAAAATTGAATATGATTCCTATATATGTCAAAAGAAAAATTAATCTCTAAAACTTTGTTTATTATTAATAGAAATGAAATGAAATTAATACTTTTAGGAGTTGAAGCTTCTTGTTAAGCTCTTCTTCTACCAATCCCTCATTCATAATTTCTTCAACTTTTTTCTTGTACGCAACTGGAACCTATATAGATATTGTACGAATACAAGTCAAACACTAAGAACAAACATCAAATGAATTAATGGGTGAAAAAGAGAGAAAAACAAAATTAAAGAGATGCTTTTGTGTGGACCTCAGCATATGAACATTTTCTTGAAAGTCCTAGTATTCCATAGTGATCTATGTCTGTTATTGCTGCATTCTAAAATGTAACTTATTAGTCAAATGAAGGACAAAAATAAAAAAAATCAGATGAACAAATCAAATTTAAAATCTTCGAAAACAAAGTTTAATTTCAATACACTTTTGCAGTGTCATGTTAGTGATAAGAAAAGTGAATTGTAAAAATAAATGAAATGGAAGAAAGCACCTATGCCAAGAAGAGCTTTTTCGACGTTAAGAGCAGAGATAATAGAAGGGGGAATTTCAACAGGTGAGGTTTCATCTGTGCCTATAGCTGAGGCTGTGTCGCTACTGCTGGAGTTTCCAACTATTAAAACCAATTTTCTGCTCTGTTTTCGGAAACTTATAAAACAAGATATATTGGAGGCTATGTAATTTTGAGTTGTAATTGTTGGGAACTTTTGGGTGTAAATGTTGGGAGTTGCAGCCATCCTGGATATCTTCTTCTCTATATTTGTTTTCCTTTCTTCTTTACCAATTTAGATAAAAAGGATGGCCAATTCAGCACCTTTCATTCCCAATCTATTACTATTAAATTAACAATATCTTTCATTGTATAAAATAAGCAGACAACAAAGTCGTTGTAGTATAGTGGTAAGTATTCCCGCCTGTCACGCGGGTGACCCGGGTTCGATCCCCGGCAACGGCGTTCGTTTTTTTTAAGTAACTAACAAGGTGAGTAGCCAACCAATTGAGCTACTAAAATTCTCCGAATTTATACATTTTGAGATATCTATGTTCTCCGTCTATATTTCTTAGTTCAGCGTCTTGTATACTAACACTACCAGGTTGCATGAAAGAAAAGATAAAAAAAAACGGTATGATGCCAAAATAAAATTCTGCATTTCCGCAACTTGCAACAACAAATAAAATCTGTAGATTATTACTTAAAACAGCCTCACTAACTCCACGAGATAGTGGTAAAGTCTGGTACACTCTAGACCTGGGATTTCACTGGCCAGGTATGTTGTAGTATTACTTAAAAATCACTGCACTATGCATTGACGTGATAAATTAACTATATATTACTACTATATTACATATCTTAACAAGAAGGAAAATCTTCCATATGACTTCCCTGTCCATCACCTAAACAATTACAATAGGTCCCCTTACAAAGGGTCTGTACTTAGCCGTAGATTTGACGTACTGGACCAAAGATGAAAAACAAGATATGAAGCTCCTGTGAGGTAGCAAATGTTTGATAGAATAGTTGAAGTGCACACAAACTAATCCAGACACCACTGTTATTAGAAAACAAAATAGGATTTGATAGAATTAGAGAGCTTGACAAATCAAGCAGTCCTGTTTTCATGGGGGTGGACGTTTGCGTGGATAAATGCATACCATGCAGCAGAAATATACACCAAAAGACCAGAAGAAACGAGGATTATGAGGAAAGTAACTGATAGAATAGTAGATTTAGCTCCACAGAATAGCATCCCAGTCTTGATCTCAATCACATTCAACATAGAAACCATGAGAAACAAGCACCCCAGAACAGAGGAAATGGCTGTCATCAACATTCCTGCTCTAAGGAGTGTACCATTGACAATAACACTGAAACCATGAGACAGATCTTCGCTATAGAGAAGATTGAGGGAGAGTTTTATGGCCTGTGCTACTAGTGATGAGAAGAGGAAGAAACTGAACGAAAGCACCTCGAAGATCACTAATTGTTTTACTGTTAGAATCCCTGGCTGACAACGTTCGCTACTGTTGAGGCTCTTTTGCCCTGGAGATGCAAGAGATAGTCCCACAAAAATGGCAATGGTAAAGAGTGAGTTCACATTTATGACTCCGTCTAGAGCTGTCACGACTACACTGTGCTTGCCACTGCTGCCTGAGTTTCTGGCAAATGGCAAAAGCAAGATTATACATATAGGTTATTTTAAAAATGAACAAAAAATTAAGGGTAGCGGAAGGGGAAATCAGGGAGGGAATTCCCTCACCAACAAGGTGAAAGTTCAGGTAGTCAACCAACTGAGCTACTAAAATTCTCCGGATTATACATTTAGGTTATGTCTTTTACCAACTATAAAATTTCGTAACAATTCAAAACAAAGCCAGCCAACCATTCTAAACATGTACATAACCAGTAAGCTAACACATTAAAATGCCTAAAAAACAAAGGATTCAAACTATACATATACTATCAGTTCTATCACTCCAATTTAACTGATTATAGCATGAGAAACTCGCGATTTTTTTTTTATTACCAGCAAATATTTGTCATAAATATATCTTGCACTTGCTTTATAAGCAACATAATTCATATAAATATTCTTTACAATAACGTTAAAATGTAATAATCTACATACTCTGAAGGTGCCATGGCTGTGCTCTAAAGCTGAAATGAGTAGTTATGTATTTGTTTTCTAGTAATGTTTACAATGACTGAAAAAAGTAATCTACAGGCCCTGAGGTTTTATACATGTGTTATGTGTATCCTCAATTTGGAGGTAAAGTATTTTAATGCATGATTTGCATGGAGAGAGAGAAATATTTGGTTGAACTGTTCATTTTTTTTGGATTTGGATTAATTTGCTTACTTGTAAAAGGCTATGATAGAATTTAAATAGAGTGAGTAACAATTAAAGATAATATTCTAAAGAAAAGGTAAGACATCTGCATTTTTTATGAGTTCAATCGTTCTTTACAAATATTCTTTTAGTTATATGACTCCCTTTTAAAAGATTATTCTAGCATGTACCCAATCAGCTCGATTTCTTCGACTCAGAGTCATGCTGACTTGAAAAATGTAAGAATTTTATATACAGTCAAGTCATTTAAAAGGTCACTAAAGATAACTACAAGTTATAAAGAATAAGACAAGTAACTCGTTACAACGAGTTAAATTGCACTCCTCCAAGAGCTTAGTAGTTCAATATACATCTTTCATATCCAATTTAACATTCAAAATAGTTACATCAATTAAAGAAATTTACTTAACAAAGTAAGGAAGATCAAGAACATATAGGAGGAAATAAGCCCAAGTGACACCAGAAATTCCACCAAAAAAGAATCCACCAGTGAATTTAGCCCATCCATCTGCAGTTTGCAATTGATCTGGCACTTTTTTCCTGCCAGTCAATGTTAATGCTGGTGCTGTTGATGGATCTCCTTCTTTGAATGATGAAATTCCATAAATTGTCAAACACATACTAAGAATCACAACAAGTCCTGCTGCTGCCAAAGAACCAGCTCCCCCTGCAACAATAGTAACAATATTTTCGACACAGAACTTAGATACATATGTGTACACATACATTTCGAAAGAAATGACCTTTTTAGACCATGGTCTAAAATTTTGTAGATGTTAGATGACAGTTTAATGTTTTGTCTATTTGCACAACTCTTAAAAACTAGGGACATCTATGGTGTGAATCAACCGCGAGTTATACAGATTAAACTCATCAAGTTAAAATTCTAAAGTCTGACTTTACCTGCATAGTCTGTGTTTCTTAACGGACCAGCCTTTACGAATGGGCCAACTAGTAAGAATCCATGGGCCAGGCCCACTTCTACTCCCCGGAGAAGTGGGTTCACCGCGGTCCGGTAGGCAGGCAAGTTGGAGAGGTACCATGCAATCAATGGACTTGAGGTGACTGGAGTTTCAAGACTTCCAATGAAAGGGTCACCATTAAGGGGCTGAATCACTTGGAAAGTTGGCTGCAGAATCAAGAAAAACAACACAAAGCAAAGGACAGTTATTGAGTAATAATCAGATCCAACAAACCAAAATTTACATTTTTGTTAGAAATTTTTTTCTTATAAGATAAGCTTTAGGTATGGCATTTGATTTTTTTTTTTCAAATCCCCTTTCAGGATTCCTTGCTCTGTCACTAGCCAAAGAATTAAATTACTGAATTTCCTCTACACAAGTGAAACTTTTTGTGTAATGGCAAAAGATGATTAAAAAAAGGTTAGTTCCATATATAGTTGCGCTTAGAAACTCTACGCTCCCTATTAGATTAAGGCATGCTCTTGAAACTTGATTTTAGATTGCAAGTTTGAATTCTAGGTGTGGCATTTAAATAATTTTCATTAGAATTTTAAGCTCCGCCACTTATCTAAAGAAAACACACAGAAATCCAAACTATAGGTGATTTTTTCCCATTTGTCCGAGCCTCAGTGGACAGAATTACTCGATACATTACAGTTTTTTTAAATTTATGGGATCTAAACAATAACTTAGTATTTTGGTTACTAGGTTCTGAATAGATTATTGAACATATTAAGTGAATCTATTTGACACAAATATAAAATCTACTGATTCGACTCCCGGCTGAGTTAGTTGAGGCATGTACAAACTGATCTGAACATTATAATTTCTCTCAAAAAAAAGTTGTCAAATTCAAGAACATGATAATAAGAAGAGTGATGATTAGTTATCTTACTTTATCAGCTTGGACAGCCTTGACGGTGAAGCAAGACTTTCTTGTTGAAGGGAAAATCTTAAAAGGTGCACCAGAAATGCCTTTGGGAGTAACAAGGCCGTGACCTCTGGTTAAAGACGAAGCAAAGCTGCTCTTCAACTGGCTAGCCATTGTGGATGCTGCAGTAGCCATTTTAGAAAATATTGTTTGGCTCTGTTTGTTTGATCAGTTAGTTAGAATATAACAAAAGATGCAGACAAGTCTTGTTAATGACTGGCAAAGAAAATCTTTTGGGTTTACAGATTGGTGGTTCTTAGGATGGATGAAACTCTTACGTGGGAGCTTCTTATTGGTCAGTTTTGAAACATTATCTCTTATCCGAACTGCATTGGTCAAGAATGGATCATTCATAGCTAACTTGATTTTTGTTAAAAGAACAGGGAAAGAATGTCCCTATTTACACCCTTCGGCTCAAGTTTGAAACCTCTTGTCAGCGAAAGCAAGGGGTTTGTCTGGGTCAAGTTCGTCGCACCAGGCTTGTCTAGTGCGGGTTACTCTCTTGTGTGTGGTTTGTGAGCTATATTGCATAAAAGCAGGGGTTTTACACTATGCACACCCAAAATATAGCCATGGTGGGTTTCCTTTGTCCTAAAAAAAATTTTAAAAAAAAATCCCTATTTACACCAAATTGACTAGTTTTACATTAAGAGATACAAATTAAAATTGAAAAGGGATTAAGTACTTTTGGACTTCGGTATCGTTACTAGTTGAGTTGCGCAAATCAGCTGATAGTCGAATATTTTTTGTTAATATGAGAATTTGTCACTCAAGCAATTTTGTAGAGTCGAGAGCCTAAAGGAAAAAAAAATTTCATTATATATTCCAAAAGGGTAACAAAAATCAAAACAAACCAAAAGGGTAAAAGCGTGACCCTCTCACACGCCTTATAGTAAAGGGTGTTAAATTTTTTTATTGAAAGGCGTGTGAGAGTCGAGCCATGTAAGGTGTTTTGGCTCCCACGCCTTCCCCTTAACGGGATAGGAGCATAGTTGAACCAGTTTGCTAACGGCAAGTGCATTTTTGTTATGTTTTTAATAGTTTTGAGGCATTTTTGAACCAAAAACCAAATGGATGATATTTTATTTCCAATAGTTCAAAGGTGACCATTTTCCGTTGATTAAATTAAAACAATTTATATGTAAGACATGTATCTTATATTTGATTCCATTTTTGACATGCATATAAACCAATTTCAAGCCAAATTTGTATTTCGTAAACAGCAATCCATTTAGTCTTTAGACTAAACAATCCAACTTGAACTGGTTGATTTGGAGAAACCAACTTCTTCTTTTTTGATAACCATGATGTCTGGACCAACTTTCGCACACCTCAACTAGATGGAAAGAATCATCTTAGATTTGAACCTGAAATCTCATGACTCTCAACCACTTCATTGACCACTAGATCACGCCCTTGAGTACTAGAAATCACTTTTTTTTTTTCTTTTTTATATAACCAAGACAAGCTCAAGATTAGCCGAGACATGCACCCAACACATTACACACATTATGCATTGCGCGATCACCACTAAACTAGAGCCGGAGGCAAGAATTAGAATCAAGAACGAAATGTGCGGATATGCTAGCATTTAAAGTAAACATTCATTACACTCCTCCAAGAGATCAGCGGTTCGATATACAACTTTGATATATCCAATTTAACATTCATATATAATAGTAAAGAAATTTACTTAACAAAGTAAGGAAGATCAAGGACATAAAGGAGGAAATAAGCCCAGGTGACACCAGAAATTCCACCAAAAAAGAATCCACCAGTGAATTTAGCCCATCCATCTGCAGTTTGCAATTGATCTGGCACTTTTTTCCTGCCAGTCAATGTCAATGCTGGTGCTGTTGATGGATCTCCTTCTTTGAATGATGAAATTCCATAAATTGTCAAACACATGCTAAGGATCACTACAAGTCCTGCTGCTGCCAATGAACCAGCTCCCCCTGCATACAATCGGTCGAGTTCGTCATCTATTATATATACATAAAAAAATTGACCTTATATATAAAGTGTAATTTTTCGACAAAGGGGGTTCAGAATCCCCTTCCGCCCCTACTTGTAGTAACATGTTAGTTAACAGCATATAGAACTCAAACTCTATGTGTAAAAATTGAAACTAGGAATTGGGCTTTACCTGCATAAGCTGTGTTTCTTAATGGACCAGCCTTTACAAAAGGCCCAACTAGTAAGAATCCATGGGCCAGGCCCACTTCAACTCCCCGGAGAAGCGGGTTCACCGCAGTCCGGTAGGCAGGCAAGTTGGAGAGGTACCATGCAATCAATGGGCTTGAGGTTACTGGAGTTTCAAGACTTCCAATGAAAGGGTCACCATTTAGGGGTTGAATCACTTGGAAAGTAGGCTGCATAACCAAAGAAGATCAGGACATGAATTAGTTAAAATTATTGGGAGTCAATTAAGCAAAGTCTGGCACATGTACATGATTCGAAGAGGGTTCAATTGAATTCTATTGTTGAAAAATTGTATCATGCATGGTGGCAGGGGCGTAGCTACTTGACACCCTTCGTCGGGAAATAATATCGTATATATAAGTAAAATGATATACGAAGTGATTAAATAACATATTTTAGACACCCTTGACAAAAAAAGTGTTGTAGCCTAGTGGTTTTAGATGTCTTGAAAGAGCCTTAAGTGCTCATGTGTTTAAATCTCACTATCAACAATTTTTCCCACCAAAAATTGTAATTAGGAAACTTATAAGATGCAAAAGGGGTGGAGCTACGTGGTTTAAAAGGGTTTCAATTGAATCTACTTTATAGAAAAATCATATTGTGCATATAGCCGGAATACTTGATATTTAACTTATAATTAAGCATAAAAAAATCTGAAATTGTATATGTTTGGATTTCATATGTGACATTTTATCATATTTTCTGAATCTCCTAGTTAAAATTTCTGATTTTCGAAAAACACAAAGAAAATATTGAAAATCAAGAACATGATAGTAAGAAAAGTGGTGATTTGGTATCTTACTTTATCAGCTTGGACAGCCTTAACGGTGAAGCAAGACTTTCTTGTTGAAGGGAAAATCTTGAAAGGTGCACCAGAAATGCCTTTGGGAGTAACAAGGCCGTGACCTCTGGTTAAAGACGAAGCAAAGCTGCTCTTCAGCTGGCTAGCCATGGTGGAAGCTGCAGTAGCCATTTTGCAAATATTGTTACACTTAGGTCAGACAGGAATATAACTAAGATTCAAACATGAACATGAGGATTTTTTAAATTTTTTGCTGGCAGACAAAATTTGTGGTTCTGAAGTTGGATGACTCTTACGTGGGAGCTTGTGATTGGTTATAAAATAATAAAACGTTATCCCTTATCCATACCTCATTGGTTAAGAATGGATGATCAACACTACATGATTCCTATGGACCTTTATTCTTTTTCATTTTTGTAAGTTCAATTTTTTAATGTTAAGAACCCAGTTTTTACATTTCAAAATCACTTGAAGATTATTACAAATAATAACCCATAATTAGTAAGTGAATTTAATCCTCGCATCAGAAGGGCACAAACAATTGAAATCGGGAACTCATATCACCTTTGTTGAAAAGGGAGAGGCATTGATAATTGGATTCCGTCTCTTCTATTACATTTACATTACATTACAAAAAAGTCATTCACATCATGATCGATCTACGTCCAAGCATAGCACCCTGCTTATTTAGCTTCTATTACATTTACATTACATTACAAAAAAGTCATTCACATCATGATCGATCTACGTCCAAGCATAGCACCCTGCTTATTTAGCTTACAAAGCTAGCTTTTACTAATGAATGAGCAAACCGATCTGACTATCACGGGTGGCTCATTTTACCGGGACGAGAACAAGTTCGACATTTCTTTGTTTCCCTGATTTGGTACACACTAGCAAGTAGACAAACTAGTTTATATATAATTTTTAGTAGCATCACGAAACAAACGTTAAACACGAGATTAATGGATATAAACATGAAACACAGTGCATATATTCAAAGATTAAAATATCAGCTTTTACACCAGATTAGAAATAGACAAGTAGGCTACATTCAGTATTAAATTCGCCCACACGAGCAAATTAAGCAAACTCCAAGGTTAAACACTAATAGTTAAAAGGGATAATCATCAAAGTTTCCTTATCAGTGCAGGTAAGGAGCCTTGTAATGGTAGCCATTTCCAAAAAAGTCGTGGCCAGGAGAGAAGTTGTAAGCAGGAGCACCCATGAATGATGGAACGTGGGTGCTGGTCGGTCCAGGGTAAGCATATGGTCTGTCATAAACGGGCTGCGGGTACCTATCAGTCATTCTTGGATAGAAGTTCTTCTCAGTGACGACATTATTTACTCGGGGGCCATTTCCGACACCATTGGGACGAGGTCTTTTGGATTGAGGTTTTGCAACTTCAGTTGCCTTTTTCTTGTCGGCCTTCACTTTCTCCAGCTGATGAACCCTTTTCTGAAGGGGATCCACAAGGTATTGCTCCTCAAGCTTATGGTCTTCAATGCATTTTAATACAGCCTTTAGTGCAGACAACTCTTTCTCATTGACATCATTCTGGGGAAAAAACAATTAATTATTCCAAATGACTAGATAAAATAAAAATTACACCCCTTTACAGCAAGCCTGGAATGGATTAGTATTTAGGTACCAAGGTCGAGTGTTCGATCCTCATGTAGTGTAATGCCCTAAATTTTGTGCCTTTTTGGCAATAGAGGAAATAGAGTCGGGAGGTATTAAACCCCTGGCCTTTTATACTGTAAAGACTTGAGTAAATCCATGAGATCTAATTATTAACGATCCCTTGAATGAAAAATCATTCTCATATGATATGCAAAAAAATAGTTTCAACAAACTTAAAATGATAGTAATTTTTTTTAAAAAGTACTCATCCTCCTCTGATAAGTTGCAAATTATGCACATTTTTGTGTTTCCGAAATGATATTTTTACAATATGTTCACTTTTTAAATTGTGACACCGCTAATGAAAAGTTCTACATACACAATTGCACACCCCAAAGGAACAGGAGGAAAAAGAGGTTTTTATATATGGACCATGACACAACAGTAAACACTGAACAGGCATCATTTGGAAAGCAAAATGATAAAAAGAAAAATGTCAAAGTCCAAATTATACCAACGCACAAGGAACAAACCTGCACAGTAGGTGATGCATTTCCAGAATTGAGAGGTGTAGATGCTTTGCTAGCTTCATTCAAGTAGGATTTCAATAGAGAAACAGGCGGAAACTGCTCTGTCAGCTCAAATGCAAAAGCTAGATTAACAGCGTCTATATGTCTTCCATTGTTTATCAACACATCAATAACACCTGTATAGAGCAAGCAGCAAACCATTCAAGCAGATAAGAGAAATGAAGCTTTAGCTTATTTTTTTGATAAGTAAGACTGCACTGACAAGTAAAGTATCTTCACAATGTCAGTTCTCTAAAAAAACAATTATGTGCAACCATTTATACTAAAGTATGGATCAGTAACCTAGAAAAGAAGGTAAGCAACTAGCTAACAACAAGTTTAAAATGTTTTACACCGTCAATGTATACATGTAAAAAGCACAAAAAAAGGGAAATATCAAAGATGTGACGTATTCCTTTGCAGTCAAGTGTCTGGTGAATTTGCTTATGTGCTTCAAATCGCTTTATCATTCTAGCATTATATGTTACTTCCTATTTTTAAAGTTTTCCATTCGTATCAAATTAAGTTATTAAATATCTAGACTCCAAATGAATTAAGACTTTCAACAAGCTAGATGAGAACACTGCATTCTGTAATTTTTACCATGATATAACTATTTTTGAACCATCATAAGATTACTCTTTGAAAAATCAAGGGGAGAACCAATAAAGAGGCCTTAAGAACTCGTAAAAAATAGAAAATGTAGAAAAAAACCTTGAACAGTTAATTCTACAAGTTATGGAAACCAACCTGGCATTCTGTCAGATAATCCAAGGGAACGACAGAGATCAGCTGTTTGGCGACGACGTGAAACCATGGGTATCAGCTTGGATAAGTTCTCCTGGTTAAAGTTGGAACTAATACTAAAAGTAGCAAGTAGCTGTAAGAATGCATGAGCCTCCAAAGAATTTCCATTATTTGCATCAACGTCAAGTTCATCCAACTTCGGGTTCCACTCTTCAGCAATAGCTTTTGCACGTCCTCTTATATTTTCTGATATTATACTTGAAATGGAATCTATATCCAGGGTGTTCAATAAAGTACTGAGGCATTCCAGCAACATAATACAAGTTCGTCGCAGTCCCAAAAGATTAGCATCTTTTTTAGCATCAGAAATAGACACATCAGAGTTGTAAAACCCGTTCAGTGAATCCAGAACCAGAGAGGCAGGATTGGTTGACGCTCTTAAAGCAAGTGGAATCTCCTCCCTGAGTGCTGCCAGGTTTTTACGGTTGTCTGATATGAATTTGTGCAGACCTTCAGAATCCATATTTCGGCATAGATTCACTAGCTCTGGATAAGACTTAACTTCCACAACACCATCCTGAAAAGATTTCCATGTATCCCCTGTAACATGCCCAATCTCTGTTACATTATCGGGTTTCTCTTCCAGAACAGATGGCTCGTCTTGAACTTCACAATTAATGACAGTTGGTTCCACAGAACAAGGATTCCTATGCTTCTCCAAAGCAATTGAAATGGCAGAAACTGCTGCATCTCTTTTCTCCTGGAGCCTCTGAAGAGAAGCTTGCTCTTTAGCAATAACAGCTGTTTGACGCTTCTCCAATATCTCTGTAGATTGAACAATTTTTGTCTCAAACTCCTTCTCTTGGTCTTCCAGTTCAGTGAAACGCCTCTTCAAGGACTTCTGAAGCCCATTAAAGTGCTCTTCAAGTTGCTTCCACTGCAGGTTGAGAGTAACAGCACGGTGACTTTCCAACTCAGCGAATGCTTTCTGTAGTTGCTGTATCTTAGATGTTGTGGAGTCC